AACACACAAATGAGCTGGTCATTTATCCGCAGCCTGCTGCACTCATATCTACCTTTAGGGAGAATATGCTGAGTACAAAGAAGGAAAGAATGGAGGGAGGATGTGAAAGACACACAAACAGAGGAGTAGGTCGAAAGGGTGTGCGATGAGAACACGAGTGAATGAATAAAAGAGGGGTGAACAGGGGGCGGAGAAAGGGGTGTGTCGAGAGAGTGGGCACAGAGGTTCAAACATACTGGAAGAGACAAAGAGTGAGAATGAGAATAATCACCAGTCTTTTTAAAAGACGGACCTGTTGTCTTTTCTTTATTTTTTTTCTTTATTAGGATCCCCATTAGCACTAGCATGAGCATTAGCTATTCTTCCTGGGGTCCTCACACACACAAAACATACATAAACATACATACAACAAAATTAAAACAAAACAAAACAGCTCATAATTTCATGCAATTTACAGTGCTGTATGAAGTGAAAACCAAAATGGTCATCCAAGGCCAAACAAAAGTAAATACAAATAAGTGTACATAATAATATATGCATACATAGCTACAGACACAGTTCAAATTTACTTTATAATACTTAAATAATTTTTTTGCAACCTTTTGAAATGTACTTGAGAATTTTCCTGATTCAGTTCAATGAGCTGAAGTAACATAAACTAAGTACCAGGGACTCTAATCTAAACAGACAGATGTGTGCATGCAATGACTTTGTTATCCATCTCTTTGGGAAGTTGCTGAAAAAGCAAATATATTTAAAGCCTGTCCCTCCGATTAGCCAGACTTCCTCTCAGCGTCTGCTCACTGGAGACTGCAGAGTAGTCTAATATTTGATTAGCAGGACACTGATTCATGGCGGGGCTCATGAAGTGGCGGCTACGGCCAATATCAATGTCTTCCTGAGATCTGATTGATTAGTTTTGACTTAAAATCAACAAGAATTCATATATCAACACTGTATTTACACAGACTGGCAATACATTAAAGGGACTAACCTCACAAAATGCATGAAGAAACAACAAATGACTATATATGAATCCATTGCTATGGACTTTAAAGCCACCAGATCTCACAAAAACCAACACAGTCTGTTGCAAAAACTCACAATGTATTCATTCATTTATTCACTCATGTACAATATAAGTATTTTGTGCAAATGTTGATATTCAGTCTGTCCATTATTTAACGGTTTACATGTTTGTTATACTTTTGTATTTCCTGTAGTTGTTGCACTGTCCCTCTGCTGCTGTAACACTGCAAATGTCCATGTTGTCTTACCTTAGATACAGCTATAATAGATTAGTCCTCTCGCATGATGAAAACACAAAATGGGAAGATGTATTTTGGAAGAACTATCTTTACACCTTTGCTCTTTGTAAAGCACCACTGGAGATGCTTGGCAAAACATTTTCAAACAAGTCTTATCAGCAAATCGAGTCACTATCCGTCATAAAAATGGTTTAGTTGTTATCACATCACCCTAGTATGGCGTTTCAGCAGTCACGTGGCAGAAACAAGTAATTAGGACAGTGTGGGGAGGATATTTTTGTTTCCAAGTCATGGTAGACAAAAAAACTTACGACGAACTACATGAACAGTGGAGATGACATGATGAAAAAATGCAACAATAGTCTGAGTCAAAATGTAAACCAGGGACATGGTGGGTCAAGATATCAACCCTCAAACCAAAGGAGCCGTTAACGATCCATCTTATGTTGGTTTTTATTTTCTTGTTTTTTTTATTGGTCCGTATTCTAACATATCAAAACTGAGTAGGATCAAGATTATAAGTGCCTGTAATGGACTAAATTTGATAAAAGCGAATGCAGTTGAATTTAAAACTGTATTACAACTACAGAGACATAAGTTGGAGTTTGTGTGCAGATCACGTTGGGCAGTGCTGAAAAAGCAAACAGGTGGCATGGAGCTCTAATGGAAAACCAAAGCACTCAACTAATTAACAGAACTGAAAACAGTAATCCATCACACTGTGTTTTCGGGGCAATGCAGCTGGAGTAAAATGTAATGTTTGCTCTCAATTTGATCCATTAATATTTATGATGACAAAAGCTGCACAGAACTGGTTTACATTAATGATGCACTGACTGACTGTACCCAAAACAACTAGACTACTTCTCTGTGGTTAAACACGAGAATATGTACATATTTGAGTGCTTTTCAAAGGTGATATATGACACTCATATGCAGACACATTTCAGCAATTAATGTCCGTTTTAAAGGCCTTGGAAAAAGTTAACTTTATTTGAAGCTAACGTACTTGCAGGATTATTGATTATTATAAATGCTGTTAATCTAAACAAACTTAATTGAAATGTAACAATCAAAGTAAGACTCAATTATAAAAATGTAGTTACCTTAGATTTGTCCACACGGGTCTTAGTTCAAGTCGTCACCTCTCTTGACCTCAGCGTCCCGTGCAGCACTTGACCTTTGCCCTTTCCCCGAGAGGAGAGATCAATATGCATTAGGCAATTTACTTTGAGGGAACACAGAGCTTAAAAAAAAAAACGAACCCTCTTTGGCTGAGGTAATAAAAGTCTCTATTTAGGGTTAAAGGACATTAATTCAAGGAGTGAATGGTCTGGTTTTACAACCCCTGAAGTAGGAGAGTCAATGCTTTAGTACACACACTCTGGAGATTAAGAACAGGAGAGTCTTTGCATCCGTCAATCCATCCATCCTTCTTTCCAATCCACATGATTGCAAAAACTGAACAGTACATGGCTGTGGGTTGCCATGAGAATAAGAGGCTGTGTTTCCCTGGCAACTATTCTTCAAAGCCCCCCCGCCTCCCTCCTGTCTGCACTCTCTCCTGATGAGATGATGCAATGGCAGCAGCAGTCGTGTTAATAGTTACACCAGTAAGACAGCACTGGAGTTTTGAGAGCTGCATAATGACTAAAAAGAATCTATTATCGAAATGTAAACATTAGGAAAGAAAGAAACACCTTCTAGGTTCTCAGATTAAACTCATTCAGCTTTTAGAAAGGGAAATGCTAATGATTTTGGATTGAAGCTATACATCTTGTTTCTTACCGTAACCCATGAGTGCTTTTAACAGCTGTTGAAACTTGGTATCACTCCATTGGGACTATCATGAGGTACGTAAAGTAGCTATAATCTTTTTGTTATTACATAAACAGATAAAATGACTACATCTAATGTTAAAGGATTCGCTCCTAGTGGAAAACTCATGGAGATTTATGAGCCAACTCTGCTCTTCCTCGAAGCATTGCTGAGCTCTTTAGCTTGTTTAGCTTACTTTTAGCTTGTTTTTCTGGTCATCAAAAAAGACCGTACTGCTGTTTTAGATCGATTTCTACTGTTTAATTTATTCTTAATTTACTAATCAGGAAGCTGTTCATTAAAAATGCTCCAAAGCACCACTTTACGGGCATGGCACTAATAATAATAATCCTTATATTTATTATAGCGCTTTTTCAATGACTCTCAAAGCGCTCCTTACAAATACACATTACACATACATATCATACATACATGTAATGGTCATGTACTGTGGACAATACCCACAGGAGCAAATTCAGGTGAAGTGTCTTGCCCAAGGACACAACGGCTTTACAGACGCAGCGGCGGCGGGTTTCGCCCCCTTGATCAGATAATCAATGCACAGAGCACTGCGCCACACCGCCCATCTTCACACCTCGAAGTCATCAAGGCGCTTTACAAGTACACATTGATATCATACATGAACTGTGGACAATACCCACAGGAGCACATTTGGGTGAAGTGTCTTGCCCAAGGACACAACGGCATGACGCAGTGGCAGGTTTCGAAATGGAGTTCCCCAACTGATGTTTCGAAATGGAGTTCCCCAACTGATGATCAAACACACAGCCCACTGCGCCCCCCCGCCCCCAGGGCAGAAAGGGTTAGCGGCTAGCTAGTGAACATAGTTTAGCATTCAGCAACTAAAGAGACTGATATTTTTAAAACAGGAGTTAGCAGAGACCGAAACAGAGCTTAAAGGAGCAATAATATTGGATTTACATTCACACATGGACACATTTGCAACTTTAAATGAATGCCAGCATTGCTCTGTATCTGCTTGTTGTATATGTAGGCTAAGGTGTGGGGACTATCAACCTATGTGTACAGTTAGATGTATTTCTCCTGTAGCAGTGGGCAAAATAAAACTGTTATTTCAGGTTAAAGTACATAAAAATAAGATTTGAAGATGTGTAAGCAGGTTAAATCTGTGTGGATCAAGTTTCATTGCAACGTTAGCTAGGCAAAATCATATCCTCACCTCAAAGGCCAGTACAAGCAGCCTAGCCTGATTACATAATTCATGTTTTTCACTCTTATGTTAATTTGCTGTTGTTAGGAATTCCTAACCCCGAGACCAGGATTAACTGAAAAGAGTCCAAGGAAGCTTATATAAAAGTTAACAGCATTTAATTAAACAAATTATATGATTTTTCCCCATCTCCACGTCTTATCAACTGTAGTCTTCTCCTATTGGCCGGCGTCGACGGCATATCCTGTCTTTTCCTGATTACATTTACAATATTCTAATATCTGTGGTTATTTAAACATTCCCTAATAACAGTATTGCAGCGTCAATAAGTGAGGGTTAAAGACAGTGTGTTTAGTGTGCAACAGCACGCGTCATTTCTCCTTAAATTCACTTTTACAAATCGTAGTAATTAGCCACATGCTAATGCTAATCAGAAGTGACGATATTTACGAACATCCGGTTTTCAGAATAAAGCTATTTTAAATTAGAAAAGTGTATGTAAACTTCCGGTTTTCAGAATAATTTAGTTTAAATTACGACATTAAAAAAATTGATTTTATTTCTTACACTCTTTCTTGTTATACTCCTGCCTTTACCCTTGTTAGGCTCCAAGTTAAGAACAACATTTAAAGGCTCCTACATGCCTGTTTTGCTTTCCCTGACACACTGCACATGATGTTGAATATTATGTTGATTTCTCTTTCTCTCTGTCTCTTTGTCAGGTGGTGGCTGCTGATGCTGTAACCACTGTGTGGAGCTGACAAGCCCTGGTTGATGCAGTGAAGTGTTTTAGAGGGATAAACACAAGCTAAGGTATGAATGAATATTAAGGAATCGGAAAATCCAGAGATATAACACATTTTTTTAAAGCACACAGCAGTGAAACAAATGGTAAACGGGGGGATGGATAGTTACTAAAAAAGTAAAGATGGTGGCTGCAGTTGTTTTATACACTACAAATGCTGCCTGGTTACCCATTCAGCCTGTGTGTGACAGAAAGCGAGATCATTGTGGTTTAGAGGCAGAGAGAAAGACACACAGATGGAGAAAGAAGAGTCAGATTGTGTTATTGGTGAGTTAATAGTGGTTAGACTTGGCAAAGACAAGCTATTCTGTTCAGTAAATCCACAGCAGTGAAGCTCCTGGGCTGTAACAGGAGGAAGCTTTCAGAGCGAGCTGAAAGGAAGCTCGGCAGGCCTCGTTCTGCCTGCTTGGCTCCCGGTCTGGACCAGGTTTGCTTTTCAGCCGCCATGTGGGAGCTGAGCAGTGTCTTTATTAGGACTCGAGGAGCCCCCTTTGGTTTGGGTTCTCTTGCCGGACTACAGATGAGAGCTGTGTGCTGCTGAGTTGCATAAGACAAGCACTTTGCTCCACTTTCACTCTGGCTGACTGCAAACATTGAGAGTGTGTGTAAGGCCGCTACACACCCACCTGAGACCAAAGAACGCGTACCGAAGGCGTCCCGACTTTTACGTCGCCTGCGTCGGCTACGCCGCCCGCCTACGCCGCCCGCCTACGAACACACCGCAAATACTTCAGTCGACGAGTGGCATAACTGTCCTTAACAGCAGGCAGCGGTAGTGTGAACAGCCAATCAGAGTGATTGCTTGGGCCGACTTTCTCTGACCTCCCGCGGCCGATTCAACATGTTGAATCGGCCGCGGAGGTGTGAAAAGGTGCCGTAAAGAGACGACGGTGCGGGACACACCAACCTGTAGGGCGCCGCGAATGCCCGACTGCCTCTGACGGCCTCTGACTCCCAAAATCGGGTTGGTGTGTAGCCAGCTTAAGAGAAACTCTAACCAGTGGCCACCAAGCACACTTCCTAGTTCACAAAATGCCTAAATGTTCAAACAGTCAGCCTGTGATATATCCAGCGGCTATAATGGAGATTATTGAGTTTAAGAGGAAATGTGCCGTTTTGCCCCTAAGATTTGTTTGCACCTTAGGGCCAACAGTGAGACTGAATGACAGAAATGTTCGATGACAAGACGACACCAGAGGATCCGGGAAAGTGGCGCTGAGTGGTGAAATAGAGAAGTGAGGCAGAAAGGAGAGCCGGAGGGGATATTTTTGAGGAACTCGTTCTGTCATCAGAAACTAAAAGAGTGCGTATAGTTTTCTCTTTTAGAGTTGAAAAGACACAGTCGAGGACGAAACAGCCAGAGGAAGAAGACAGAAATGTAAATAACGTTGAACATATCTAATGCTCTTTGTACCAACCAACCGGAAGACTACATGTGTTCTACAAACAGCATGAAAAACACAAAACAAAGAGCGGCATCTAGCACGCAGAGCAAATAGAGAAAACCACAAAGGCTTTAAATAGATGGCTGAAAAAGAGAAGTGTGAAGTGGACAGAGATACACAGAGGCAGAGGGAGAAGTTAGCATCAGTCTCTATGAAACCAGTGCCACGGTGGGATTGAATGTATCGCTCTGAGACGGCTTAACCTGAGATTTACTCACAGCAACGATTTCACCAAGCAGGGAAGACGAAAACAGGGGAATAAAGGAAAAGGAAAAGGCGAAACACTCGTAGGAAAACAGGGTAAGAAAGAGAGAAGCGTTCGTTAGATTCTTCATTTCCTGTTTTTATTCAAGGCTTGGTAACAATGTGTGTGTTCTGCAAAGACTGATTGCTGTTTAAAAGATTGATGCATCAGATCACTGTTATGAAACTGACCCGAGTGTGTGAGCAGAGCTCGATGCCTTTTCCTCCACATCTTCGACGATATCACCAGGCCAACAGTATCCTGGCAACCATCAGGCGAGCGCTGCTCTCAGGATGGACCACATGCTGCTCTAGCCTCACTGTATGTGTGTAAACGTGTGTGTGTGTAGGGCAACGTATAACACACACTCACTATGTCAGAGAGCGTTCACTTCAGTGCTTTGTGTGAGGCTGGAGATTTGGATTTTGGCCTTTGCAATCACCTTGTCAGAATGAAAATGTGAATCTTATTCTTATTTATTCATATATTCATAGCTGTCCGTGCGGTGTGTATCTTGGAGCAGGTTGTCTAAAAGTCAGGGGGATATGGGGAGCGTTTTACAGATCTGGACTGATGCTTGTAGGCTTTAGCAATGAGTCAGCATCAGAGGTGCAAGAAGTACTCGGATACTTAATCAAAACTAGACATACTCTGGTCTTAAAATCCTCCATTAAAAGTACAATTCCCTTAAAGATATTACTATACGTAAAAATAGACTCAGACCATCCAAAGTAAAAGTTCTGAATATGCAAAACAGCACTTTTCAGAGTCATATGTTATTAAATAATATTATATTATTCAGTTTTTATCATTAAAAATACATTTTAATGTTGTAGTTTGTCAATGTGGAGTCAATTGTAGATACTTTGTAAACATTCTGGCTTGATTGGTTGTACAGTACTGCATCAGCATATCATGTGTTTATAAACTTTATATAGTATAACATTTCAGAATAAAATAAAGATTTATATATATAAACAAAGAGAAGTTAAGTTAAATATTGAAATTGTTCTATATATAGCAATTTTATCTATGTTTATATGAATTAATGAAGTACAATTATGTCCAAACTTAAGAATTGTACTCGAGTAAATGTAATTAGTTACTGTCTGCCACTGCTCAGCATATAAAGCTCTCTTTCTCTGCCTCCCAACAGATTGTGTTGTTAAATATAATACATTAGATGCAGTACTCGTATTAAAGAGCTGCTTTGGAGACATTAAGTGAGCTTTCCTGGTGACTGTCCACTGTAACTCCATCCCCTCTCTGTCTGAACCTCATGCTGCAATGCAACACCACTTCTTGCTGAGTAACAGCGAAAAAGTCCAGGCTTTTTTTTTTTTTTTTTTGCAGCTTGGTGGCATCTCGTAAACATGCTAATGCTGGCCATAAATCAGTCTTGCAGGGGGGAAACTGATAGGTCTCCGCTGTGTGCTAACATAGCACATAAACACAGAGGGTACGGCAGAGGAAGTGAAACTTGGCAGCTGCTTACCTTCTGCTAACGAAGGGCTTTATGATGGAGGAGGGCTTTCATTCACAGCCATTTTAATATTGGATTGGTGTGATTTGTTTTCTTATCGGACACATGTGGCCTCTTAATCCTCTCCTTCTTTGTTGCCTTAACATCTATTTAACCGTTAATTTCCTCTTTAAGTGAGGTTGTTGAAATCATTATATTCCACACTGTGCAACAATATCACGTTTATGCTCTATCATGTTGGTCCAGCCCTTTAATGAAGCTGTTTGATTAGTTGAATATTCAAACTCTGAATTTGTACGGCTGCTCCATTAAATCAAATGGTAATATTTCAGATGTCTGAAGTAAAATACTGCTATTAATGAACTACTAAGTCTTGTTCTGAATATATATTGAAGCATTAGGGCTGCGCAATAGTTCAGTACAGTACAATAAACAACATATTTAGTTAAAAATCTGATCAAACTCTTATTATATCAAACTATCGTCTTAAGCTGATCACATTGTTTTCGGATTAAACATTGTCAGTGTTTATCAGAAAACGTACCCTCTACAGTGACACTTGGAACGTTTAATACGTCAAGTATTTGATTCACACAGGAGTACACACAAATAGGCTTTTAGACTCGTTGTGTATTGACTTAGAACAGAGCATGCTGTACTATATACTTCATTATAGAGATATGAAATGACCTATTTTGGGATAAAAGCTTTTGGACAAATGTCGGCCCTATCTAGCACTAACAGGATCGATACCAACAAGCAGATCCATCTCATGTTAGATCAAATTCTGTGCAGGAATATTACTCTATACACTGTAAAATATGATCTTTTGCCACAAAATCCACAAAACTCCTAATAAATGGCTTTTTAAACAGGCTTGTGAATTATTAATTAGACAACATTAGAAAAGAGGTTCAATATTTGACGGTAATGAAAATGTATTCAGAAGGATCCTATCAATGATGCATCCACTCAATAAATCATGACTCATGGCTCTCCCCTACATGATAAGCTGTTTTTACATTTTAATTGGCGACTCTGCCATTTTTATATTTCTTGGGTTTGGATCAAAACCAAATGAATGGTTCCATCTCTACCCCTATTTTTAATAATATTTGTCTCTACAGCCTCAGTTTAAACTGCTTGGCTTGACACTATCATGCTCTTATCTCTAAAACTCCTGACATATGTTGTTCTGTCTGGTGCTGTGCTGTACATGAACATATATTCCTGTCCATCCGACCTATAATCTGATAAAGCTCGCATCATTGCTTCCATAAAGCTCTGGCATCTGGCCTGTGGGTATGAAGCATAAAGAGCTCGTCATAAAGTATCCATAGGCTGCTGCACATCAAGAGCATTAGGGGAGAAGAGACTACATAGCAGGCTTTTATTAGGTTACTATAGTAATGTAAATGGATTAAAAAGCACTGCTCAGCTCCAGTGAGGGATCTAAATCAGCCACTACTGGATTTCAGCCGCCCTCTAATGGAGTACAGCGTACGGGACGCAAACTGTGATCAGTGTCATTTATAACCCGGATGTCTCTGGACAATTAGACCAGGGGGGTCCAACTAATTTTAGTTCAGGGGCTCAAGTGGGAAAATGTACTTAAATTACTAGGTATACTCATTGCAAAAAAACTTCAACAAATATTTCAATAATTTAAAATATTAAATAAAAACAGCAAAACTTTTTAAGAAGCTGGAACTGTGAAATATTTTTGAACAAAAAAACTTCTTAGGTTTTAGTGACTTAAGTATAATGTGTGTGTGGTGTAAGGGGTGTCAAACTCAGATCACAGTGTATCGACAAAGGCACAACACATTAAGTCAGTGGTATCTGGAACTGAACAATATATTATTTTACTTTAGGATCAAAACAACTTACTTACTTAAAGTGGACCTATCATGCTATATTTGAATAATATAGTGTAGGACCATACCTATATAAGGCATATTTATACTTTTTTTTTTTCAAAATACCAAACAGATCATGCATTTTAGCCATGCCTCATTTCGCTCAATTTGCACTTTTTTTTTAGCAAGGGCTGATTCAGTGAGAACAGCACCACCTACAGGCCTGGCATATGTACTACAGCGTCTCCAGCGCTTTCGAACGGCAATGGCCGTGGCTGTCTCCTCCTGATTGGTGGAGTTGGCCCAATAGCCGTAGCGCCACCGTCCTGACGTCAGGACAGTGTTTATCAGATCCGTTGCAGCCCCTTTTTTAGAGATTTGGGTATGGAGGAAAATAGAGAGGGTTGTGTTTTCTGACACTTGGTGAGTTCCCTGGAACACCGGGGACACATATTCATGTATAAAAGACGTACAAAAGTGCATTTTGCATGATAGGTCCCCTTTAACTCTAGAAATTATATTACATTCATTTCCACATCTGTGTAATCCTGACCACCTGAACTGACATACCACCATACAAACTTAAGTGGGACCTATTAAAAGAAGGTTAAGTTATCCCCATGCCTTGTACATATTAAATGTATACATAAAAGTTAAATTGAAGTTACTGTCTACTCTGTATTTTTACACTTTGAAAAGTCATACCACATGTTTGAAACCCTTGGCTTAGACAGTAGAGGAAGAAGAAGAAGATTCATTTGAAATAGTGCAGACTGGTTCAAATACAAATAGATCACTCTCAACCTTCTGTGTTCTCCATGTGCATGTTGTGTATTTTCCTGCAGGTTGTGTATTTTCCTAGGTTGAGCGTATACTGTATGCATTTTGTTGTGTCCCCCCGTCCAGGTCGCCAGCCATGGGGAACCTCATTAAGGTCCTTGGCAAGGATTTAGAGAACTGTCCACATTTTTTCCTGGACTTTGAAAGTAAGTGAGCGTCCGGGGTGTGTGCACGTGTCTGTGTGCCTGAAAATGTGTGTGCACGTGTGTGTGTGTGTGCAGCGGGGGTGTTCAGTGGGAGGTCGCCGGGCGGGGGGGTCACAGGAGGAGTATTTGGATGTGAGCTGCTGCGTTGTTGATGGTGTGATGGAGTGTTTTTGTGGGTGTGGTTTGTCATTATCACACGCTCTCTAGTCCCACTCTCAGAGCTCTCTGCTGCTGAAAGTTGTTTCTACGATGGTATAAATACACGGTGCGTAGGTTTTATAGTGAGGAAAACAAGCTTCAGTATGAACCAAAAGCAGTTGTATTAAAGAGAGGCGTTTTTATACTGTTACCGCTTAAACTGATATACTTTTAAACAGTCAGCTTAAACTCCTCAGTGTAAAATGTTTATTTTATGGGATTACATTTGACTTATTATTTCTCAACAACCAGGAAATGGAAACACATTTTTATTTGAGGATTATTTCAAATGATTTGACCACGATACAATCTCAAAAGTCATAACTGCATAAAAACTATACAAGGGCTCCATTAACACACATTTGATCCCATGCAAAATCAGATTTCTGAGTAAAAATAATAAATAATTATAGTATTGTATTTTATTAATTTAATTTCTACTCCAATTATTGTCCTTATTATTATTATTATTATTATTATTTATTTATTTTTATTCCTGGGTTAATTTGCTCAGTTTACTATAAAAAAATAATAACACAAAATCATATATTAAAATGTGTGCCACAATAGGAGGACTACATTCTAAAATGTACATTATTTAACATCAAATTCTACAAAATAAAAATGTAAGTTTAGTTAGACAGTCTCTTCTCTTGTTACCATTCACATATTCTTTATAACATTTTGACCTTTTTAAACCTGAGGATTGCCATCATCACGATAGTCATTATGAATCCAACAAGTTACTAATACTACCGTAGGAGTGGGATTAAAGAAGCTCTGTGTCCACGTTGCCATGCTTCACCCAGGACATACATCCACCATCCCAACAGCCGCTCTCACCCCACCCCCTACCCCGACACCTTCACCTCTCACACACACACCACACACACACACACACACACACACACACACACACACACACTGAACACGCGCACAACCCCGACACCCGTCCCCTCATCACCCACAGAAATGTCCCCTCTCTCTGTTCCAGGGGGCTCATGGGAAACCTCCTGAAAGTGCTGGCTTGCGCCGAACTTGAGCATGGCCCAATAGTTTTCCTTGACTTTGAACGTGAGACCATCCGCTTCTTATTTTTTTGAGTTGTCCTTTTGCTCTTTGTTGCCTTTCTGCTTTGATTTCCCTCATTCCATCTATTTCAGCTGGACATTGAGTCATCTTTACGTCCTTCTTCGCCCCCCAGCTCTCTTCCTCCGCCTCCTCACTGTTGTTTTATCTTTTGATTTCTGCTCCAGGGACTGGCATTAGAAAGGATTTCTTTTTCTGAAGGGTCTTATTCACACACGACACATCTTATTAGACGCAGACAGATCCACAATGGCATGTTGACGCTGTAGCACAACGACAACAATAATGCTTTGATCCCGGCTCCTAAGCTACAAAAGAAAAAACGGAGACAAATCTGAAAAGCAAATGCCAGTCCTGTGTGGGTTTCTGTTGCTCGGGGATGAAGATGGCTGACAGAAAGCTTATCGTCATCCCTCCACCTCCTCATCTCCTCATGCCCTATTGTGTGCCTGACCAATCTGTGTGTGTGTGTGTGTGTGTGTGTGTGCTGAGTAGTGTATGTGTCAGAGAGTGAGACTGATACAGAGAAATGGAAAGAAATAGAGAAAGAAGTGCCCCCTTTTCTCTCAATTTCCCAGTCAGTGTATTCTAAACTTTGCAATGTGAAAATGTCCATCTCAACAAGTCATTTAAAAAAATATATTTTGTGAAAGTTTAAAACAACTGACCTCAATCACTGGGACTAACTCAGGGACTCTCAGCAAAAAAATGAATACCAAAAAAAGTCTCCTATTTCTGTTATCATGCCAATCTTTTCCCTAGTTCCTCTCACCAAAAATGGACCACAGTGTGGTCAAGAGTAATCTTTGAAATCAAATCCTACTGGAGAGTCTGATCATGTGACTAAATGATTTGTTTAGATGGAGATGTTTCGCGGTGAATCCCAACATATTCTGCTCCTCCTCAAAACACTTTCCCCCTTCAACAGCTGCCTTCCTCCTCCTGCGCCTCCTTCACTGACTGCATGTAAGCGTGGGAGAGCTCAATGCTGGCAGGAGACGTCAGCTGTCAAACAGGCTGAATTTCTCCCCCCTTCATTTAATATGCCTGTGATTCATTTTGACTTCAAAAGCAAGTGGAGTGAGTCAGAATCAGGCATGGCTTTAGATACGTCCTCTCCCCCTCCTCACCCATCCAGCCCGGTGCCATCTGTGAGCTCCCCCCCCCCCTCACCCAGAGACAGTCACCTCTGTCACACAGCTCCAAGTTTGAATCACAGAGCTCTCATTAAACTATGTATAGCTGAATGCTCATTATTATACCACGCTAAAACCTTTTGAAGGATCGGGACACATACATATATAAAAAAAATGTGGATACTTTCTTATTTAAAGGTTAAGTCTTAGACATTAAACATGATGCCTCAAAATAGTATAATCTTCTTTTCATTACACTCTACACCCAACTTTTTTCTTAAGGTAAAAAATGGAGTTGCTTCAATCACAACAGAGCCGGCCAGCTAACCAATCAGTGCAGACTGGGCTCTGGTTTCAGACAGAGGGTGAAAAGAGGTGCTGCAGCACAGGCAGTATGAGCCTTTTGAACATTAAAGCATGGACACATGTCGCAGGAAAGGAAATGTAAAGAAGGATTCATTGAATCCTATTAAAAAAATATCAAAAACTTTAACTGAAAAGCAAGGCCATTTCTCCTACTTCCAGTCTTTATGCTAAGCTAAGCTAACTTTCTCCTGACTCCAGGTTTATATTAAGCAAACAGATGTAAGAGTTGCATACATTTCTCATATAACTTGGCAAAAACTAACTACAGATAACCTACTGTATTCCTTTAATACTATGAGAACAAATCCATTCTCATTTAAGTTTTTTATTGCACTTATATTGTTGTTCGCCACAGAAAAGCAGAAGCAGGTTAGTGAGAAGACCTCACCAAATAAACCGTGCTTGCTGCGCTTATTATGACACGTATAGCAAATATCCCATGATTACAATTTCTCCGCAGGAAGGCAAGGCCTCAGGGTGCAGAAATAAACTGGGGTGCCATATTAAAAGAGCTGCCGGGGCACACACTCACACTTTATACCTGAATCACACTTTGTGACGGATAATTGGAGGGGAAACACAATGATGACTCTCACATTATTGTCCCTCTAACACCTAATTCCCCCAGTCTGCGTGCAGCACGACACATGGGCAAACAAAGCAGAAGTGACTGGGAGGCGCCCTGCGGCAGAAAACACTGAGTTTACAGTAAATGCTTAGTGAGGGAAACTGAGAAAGAGAAAAAAGAGTGATCATACCCAGCGGTTTTCATCCCTGCTGCTTGTTTGTTTTAACATTTATCACAATTACACCTCAAGGGCGAGTCTCTACACATTTAGAGAGTGAGAAAAAGATGGATTAGACTGTTACATAAGGGACAATTACACCTCTCAGAGTGTGTAAATCTCCAGTGAATAAACGAACACAACTTTTTACTGCGCCTGAAAACCATCAAACTATCAGCTGTTACATCATCATCCAAATAGTTCCCTGAGGAGAAAGTCACCTGTCATCTCCTGGTCATTATTGGCTGACCACACACTGTAATCAAACCTCGCTGTGTGACAGAGGGTGACTTACAGAGGGTGACTTACAGAGGCTGACTTACAGGTCTCTTGGTAAATTATAACGTGGGTAGATTGGGGTTATTCACTATAGTGGCCAGATTATGACATTAAGTGGCTGCAATGTCCACTATCAGGATATAATACAGTCACTTTCTTTAACAGCAGTCATGTAGGGAGTGATTAGTTCTCTGGCCTTCTCTGCTTTCATCACTAACCTCCTTCTTTCCTCAAATCTCTGATGTTCTCCACTCCCCGCCATGTCCCCTTTCCTCTTTTTCTGCCGCCTCCCCTCAAAAATGTTCTTACCTTACATCACACTTTCACTTCCCACTCTTGTCTCTCTTCCTCTTTACTCTCCTCCCTCCCCCTCCTCACAGATGCCCAGCCCACGGAGGCGGAGACGGCGGTGTGGAACCAGGTCAGCGCCGTGCTGGAGGAGGCTCATGGGATCCTGGCCGAGCTGCAGTCCTACAACGGGGCGGGCCAGGAGATACGAGAAGTGAGTCCATCAGTGCTGAACATCCATAAAATACAGTTTAGTCGAGCCACGGCGCAGTGTGTGATTCACACGGCCTTTAATGAGGAATAGTTACCGACACTGATAGAGCCTCCGAAGTGTCCTGCTCCAAGTTGAAGGACAGTAGGACTGTAGGTGCAGACAAAGACATGTATTACATTTTTTAAAACAAACATTTCATGCAACATGTTTTGTTTGTTTTGGGCAATTTCATGTTAAAGGTGGGGTAGGTAATTTTGGAGAAACCAGCTCGAGTGTGCTAGAATTTGAAAATACACAACCGGAGAAAATCTGCCACTTCCTTATAGAGCCCCTCCTCCAACACACACAAACGCGCACATGACCAATGAGGGCACGAGATAAGTTTGTGCACAGATGGAAGGCTGACAGGCAGGTAGGCCATCCAGTTATTTTAGCCGGGCCGGCTAAAATGATTGGTCGTGCTTTTTACAGTACTACGGCTTCCACAGATGACATTTTTTATGGATTCTTTGTCAAAGCACTTAAGATATTCATTGCTATCGGGATGTTAAGAGTATTCCATGGAATATAACAAAAAGTGTATCTCGAGCCGGTTTCTCAAACTTACCTACCCCACCTTTAATTTGTTTTTTGGATAATTTTCAAATGATATAATACAAATATATATATATATTTTATTCTTTATTTCACTGCTATTAGTATTGTTTTTTGTTTGATTATTGGGTGAATTTGCTCAATTACTATGTGAATATATTTTCAAAAAAACCTTTTGTGCAATATTTGTAGATTTTTCTTGTCAATCTAAACTGTACCTAGTTCTTGGATTTGTTTTGTTATTGACACAAATATGATTTCACTTAGTAAACAATGTCTGACACCAGATGAGACTTCAATTCTAGTATTATTCTTTTATTAAAACATTTTATTTTTGGGTTTTTCATTTATTTATTTAACTGCCAACTATTAGTATTATTATCTTTGTTTGGTTTTTGGGGTGATTTGCTTCATTACTCTGGAAACTGTTTACTTTTACAAACATTTCATGCAATAGTGTGTTTTTTTGGAACTGCTCTGAAACATCAACCATCAGAAAGCAGGTGTTGAAGAACACAGAGCTGTATTGTGCTCAGATTCAGCGACACATTTCTACTAAGCAGTTCCCTGAAGCATTGCTGCTTATTGCTCAGCTGTTAGCATTGTTCTCTATTTGTCAGCACTTAATAGTTTCCTTTCCTGACTTCCTTATCTTGAACACTTAGAGACTTTTATTAAGCTGCTTAGGCATTCATAAAATGTACCTGGCCAGCAACTATGTTATTGATATTGTGCAGTATCTGAATTTTTTGCTTTATATATGCATGTTTGATAGTTTGGTTAAGTATATTTAATAATATATATCAATAAGCACATTGATATCTCATTAGATGGATATTCGATTGCATGTCAGTAAAACTAAATGACGTTTTGCTGATGAATGACATAACGTGACATATGGCTTTAAGGAAGAGAGGGTAGAGGAGATGGGAAGGTGTTTTATTTTTAAATCCTTCCTGGAGACTAACATCTGTGTTGCTCGCCTGCAGGCCATCCAGAACCCGGGCGACCTCGCTCTGCAGGAGAAGGCCTGGAACGCAGTCTGCCCCCTGGTGGCCAAACTGAAGCGCTTCTACGAGTTCTCCCTCAGACTGGGTGAGCATGGCTACATTCAGTCATTCATGGTGATGTAACACTCTCTGGTGGCCATATTGGAGGTCCAATGAGAGCTGGAGTTATAGCTGCTGTAACCTCAATCTACAATTAGTAAGAGCGTTTTCTGCCAGCCAGTCAGAATGTCTCTCTGAACCTCAAATAAGAGGCAGATTCATGTTAAGGTGATCAAAAGTGAGACTCGTGTTGTTACTATGGGTAGAAGTTCAAATTGTCAGTTTCTGCGTACCACCATCCTGATTTGACTTGCAATTTCTGTCTGACAGCACTCCTAAACACACACGCACACGCACACGCACACGCACACGCACACACCGATGTCTTCCCAGCCATCTCTGCAGCATCCTGACCTAGCAGCCAGGCAGCCGTTGCTACGGAAACAGTGGTACATGGTCTTCCAGCACAAAGAGAGAGACGAGTGTGAGCAGAAACATTTAGTTGGCCTGACGCCTCTGCTCTGCCATCCAATAATACTTCTGTGTCATGGACATTATGTTCTCAGCTAAGAAAGCGGGCGAGGTAATCATTTAGGATAATGTATCTGCGCTAATGTGGCTAGGAGGTGTAGCACAACAGAAGTTTGTAGACGGTGAATCCATATGGAGAGAAGGTGATATTCACAAAGTAGATCCCTCGCTTTCACTGAGTTATTTATTGGACAACAAGATATTTACAGTAAACAATCCATCATATATCCCCTCAGGAGTCAGTGCTCCAGTTAGGGACTTCAGTGCTAACAGCAGGAGGGAGGGTCTCTGGCCCTTTAGATGAAACACTTCAGCGCTGTATTTATAGAAGGCCTTGTGCATTTTTAATGCAGAGGAAGGGATGGGGCCCCGGGGGACTTCTGAGGCTTTACACAGAGCCTCTGAGGTCCGGCTCGGTCTGATTCGTTGGAGGCAGCAAAGGCTGAGGTTCAATAACATATGTGACACGGGGGGATATGCACGGTCACTGATACAGTGTCCACAAGGATGCTCAGGCTGTGAGATCAGATGCAGGGTGATCTGTGTGGAGGAAAGGTTCAGTATATGTTCATTTAGTTGGTCTGGAAATGTATTTTTAATGCAGATAGGGAGCTGCTGAACTGCAGGACCTCTGGAGCCTACTTGAGGTGTAAGGTTACATTCACTGCTTAGCATAACCATGGACTGTATATATAAAGAGTATAACACAACCAAAATGTCCTACAAACTGTTGGTAGTTCAGGTTGCATTATGGGTAATGCAAACACATTTCAACAAAGAAGAAGAATAGATCATATAAAAATGATGAACTCTAAATAAGAGTACATTGCTAAATATGTACAAAAATGTTTAAGGGATCACTCTTATGATATAAGTCACATACCAAATTGCTAGAGGTGTTAGTGGATGATATGTCTCAGTCTGTTCAGTCACACCTAAGTCAGACAGTAACACAAACAAAAAATGTAACAGATTGAGGAAGCGGGCGTTTTTTGTGTTCTGGAAAATTTAAATGACTGTTTTTGTCAATGGAGTCTGGTGGATTTAAAGAAAGCATAGATAACGGCTGCCTTTCCCCATCAGAAAGTGTTGGACTGCAAGGTAAAACAGGGAAACATGCAAAACATAGCCTACACTTAAACTGGCATTTAATGTATTCGGTTGGCCTTATTTTGAGTGGCTTAAATAGGGCTTGCTACATTGCTTATTTTCCGTATAACTCCTCTCTGTTTCTCTAAACTGAGGGCGTGCACACTCCCACCTACACTAAGAATAAATACATTATACAACTGCACATTCAAATGTCAAAACCATCACTTCAAAGCCAAGCGGTCTGACAAAGAAATGTTAAAAGAACTCCACACAGAGTTTTAAAGACATGTCCCAAAGCTTGAGGGCTCCAACGCTCAATTTCTGGTCGCATGAAATCTGAAACCCTGTTTGAGGGTCTGCTCTCAGACAGTGGTTCAAACAAAGGTCTGTGAAAGTGCCTGAGGCCGGATCCCTCTGCGCTTCAACAGAGCCGGGCCGGTATCTAAAAGCCCAACAGGTATCCAGTGATGTCCAGAAAGAATGTGACAGATATACAGGGAAGGGATTTCATCTCTTTGAACCCGTTAAAATCCATCCGCTGCTGCATTTTGATTTAATGGTGGTGACATGAAAGAGATCAGAGAAGCCAGATTAGAGAGAATTACAGCTGTCTGAACATTAAGGGATACAAGTCTGCAGGAAGCAGCGATCTTTGACTCAAGTTAAAGCAGCTAAATTAAAACGTGAAAATATTCTCTTACAAGTGACAGTCCTGCTTTCAAAATCTTACTATAGTAAAAGTAGAAAAGGATTGGCATCACAATAAGAATTTATTTGGTAAAGCCAAATTCAGAATCACTAGATTATAATTATAATAATGCAAACATTTCCCAAATTGGGATCGATAAAGTACTTCTTATCTTATCTTATAATATTACTAGATAACAACAATAAATGTGTAAAAATGTGTATATTACAAGACATACAGTGGCGTAATAGCACTGTATACAGATATTAATGATAACAAATATATTATTGCTCAAAATGTCACAGTGTATTACAGTAGTAATCCTTAGCGTTGTTATTAGTATTTTATAATTGCACAGGTTATACAGTGTTGTCCGTACTGCACAGATTTAAGAGGGTCTTCCTGAGTAAATGCACTTCATACCTTTCCCCCCTGGCCGTATGACGTGCAGATTTCCTGCTTGCAGACACTTTAGTGACATTAGTTGTGTTTTCAGAGAACGCCCTGCGCAGCCTGCTGGAGGCGCTCACCAGCCCTCCGTACGCCCCCATGCAGCACCTGGAGAGAGAGCAGGCGCTGGCCAAACAGTTCGCTGAGATCCTGCATTTCACACTCAGCTTTGATGAGCTAAAGGTGAGGGGGATTTATTTATTATTATTAGTATGTATTTCTTTATTCAGTAAAGGCAAAGATACACATAAATGTCCATGTGATGAAATGACAAAAAATGTAATTAAGTAAAAACATAAAAAAATGAATGAATACAAATAATATTATTAAAGAATACAAAATATTATAAGAATAAATTAATATGAAATACGTTAAATAATAATAATACAAATAATTGTATTAAAAAAGTAAATATAAAAGAAATTAATATGAATAATAATATTAAATTATAAAAAAGAATAATAACAATAAATACATAAAATAAGAAAATAATATCAAATAAATAAAATAATAATAATATTAATAATATTAAACAAATTAAAAAAGACAAATAGAAAAACTAGGTTGAAAAAAAACACACGCATGTCATGCAGCAAATAGTTATTATTATAATCAAACTATATGTTAGTGCTAATTTTGTCCCATTTCATGTAGTGTTTGCACAACAAAATTGGCTTTGCAATGTGTTTTCTAGATTTGTTTGGTGTGATTACCTCAGAGTGACCTTTACTGTGCCGAGTAATCAATATACCGTGAAATAATTTCCTCTCTCACCGTGCAGATGACAAATCCAGCCATTCAGAACGACTTCAGCTACTACAGGAGGACTATAAGCAGGAACCGGCTGAACAACCAGCAGGTGAGAGGATCTGTTTACGCTCAGCTTCCCTTTCCCTCTTGAATTATTAATGATTTAAGTGGAAGTGTTTCTGTCCTCCTAACAACACAACGAGACGAACAAGCAACAATGTGTCCGTCAGTCGAGTTACTCAGATTAGAGCCTCTCTGATTTGACCGACTGGATGTTATTGGATGACATTAATGATTCATGCTTCCTAATGAGTTTTGTATTGGCGCACAGCTGGAGGCGGAGAACGAGGTCAACAATGAGATGGCCAATCGGATGTCTCTGTTCTACGCTGAGGCAACACCAATGCTGAAGACTCTGAGTAACGCCACCACCAAGTTTGTTTCAGAGGTACATTTACAATTTCGATGGATAAGTGTATTTTTATCGAGACTTGGATAACACAAAGAGTTGGCATTTTCAGAACTGAGCTTGTCAAGATTTAAAGAGGTCATATGATACGAAAATGTCAAACTTCATCTTAGTATCTCTCCAAATGACTCAAGAACTACCTTTGCAAAAGCTAATCATGTTTTTCTTGCCTGCTAATCAGAGCAGTTTTATTGTTTACAGGATAGAGACTCAAATACTTTCAAACAGACACGAAAGAATAAATAATGTTTTTTTTTTTCACATTTAAGTATTCAAACAATTTTAGTAGACGGAAAATACAGGTATAAACCTGAAAATGTGCATTATATATCACCTTTAATTTAAATAAATAAGTATTGGTTTTAAATATTGCCATTGAAATTAGCCATCCAACAACAATCACATTCAGATTTAAACCTAACATAATGAATGATAAGTAAAAGCCAATACCTCCTGTGCTAGACCAGAGTAAATGAAGACTAGTTACAGAGCACAGGATACACTAGTGAGTAAAATGTGTGTATACCTCACCATCAAACACATTTAAAAATACATTTACACTGTAAAAAGTATGCTTTCATTAATAACTTGTATATATACTATTCCTTAACATCTCCACAATAAGACTTGCATTGTAAGGTGAAGTCACTAGATGCCTTTGCACACTTGACCGTATGCAAGCCTGTGGCAATACAACTTCTCCACCTCAGTGCATCTTGAGACAAAATGTAGAGAACAAGGGGGTCAGGATTGCCTCTTAGCAAAGTTACTTGCATTCTTTAAACGGTTCCAAGCTATGCAGAGATTGTCTCCACCTTGTGGTAGGACATTTTGTTCCCTCAGCACATAAACAACAGAAGACAGTGAATGTTCTCTGTGTTATTTTTAGGCATATGGACTTTTTATCTATTCTAAATTGTATTATTTTTGGTCCTTCAGAATAAGACCTTGCCCATAGAGGACACCACAGACTGTCTGAGCACGATGGCCTGTGTGTGCCGCGTCATGCTGGAGACTCCGTGAGTATTTTCCTTCATCCTCCAAAGGTCATACTCTTAGATATGAATAAAGCCTTTTCTATCCAACACAAAGAGGCATTCTCAAGTGTGACTCACAATTTCAACAGACTTCATCACACTGACATTCACACAGAGAATCATTCATAGAGTCCTTCATGCTTTATTTAAAATCCTCTTTATGAGTTGTCTTTATATGAATAGAAAGTCATCAGTAATTTTTCAAGGAGATCAGGAAGTGCCTGAAATAACCGCAGCATTAGTGTGTGACCCTGACTGATCTCTGGTGTTATTCAACTGTTTTCTTCTCCTCTGTGTGTGTAACAGGGAGTACCGCTGTCGGTTCACCAACACAGACACCATGCTGTTCTGCATGAGGGTGATGGTGGGAGTCATCATCCTCTACGACCACGTTCACCCCGTCGGGGCTTTCGCCAAGACCTCCAAAATCGATGTGAGTGCACACAAATAACCAGTGTCTAAAAACAGACGAACGTCTCTGTGACTTCTGCCAGGCAACACTGTTAAACACTTCCTTTAAAATGTATATTTGATTGAATTGGAAACTGAACAACATTAAGAGCCTTCGTTAGGCGTTTTCTGTACATGAAGTACTGTACCTAATAAAATAACATATGTATTTAAAGGAGATTGTTTGCAGTTTTGCAATACCAAAAGAGGTAGATTAAACACAAATACTTTGTTATTATATGTTGTACTGTGAACCTTTGCACATATATTGGACAAATTTGAAAATCTTATGCAATTAACTACAACTTTATAAATTGAAAAGCTTTTATATTTCTACTTCAGGCATATTGTATGTATTTTTTGTAATATTTGTAATGTATTTCTCTTCTATATGTATGTTGTATGTTCCTTGTAGAAAGCCTACTTGTTAACAAATCAGAAGTAACCAGAGTGTAATGCCAAACGATTATACTTTACAGACCATAACACTTCCCACCAGAAACATGAATACTTTATTATTTAACACAACTTCTAATAATAATCAGGATACAAAAGATAGCTATCCTGAGAATGGATTTAAGAACAATTACTCACCATTAGCCTTGGTATTGATGCAATGTGTGAAACTCTCCAAAGGGTTCCCACAGTAAATCTGAGGGGTCACAAGATAACTGAAGACAGACAGAAAAAGTCAATGTTTTATCTTGTGTAATCTTTTAATAATTTACCTTTTGAAGTTGGAGCCTGAGGAGCAACAATCACTCGTCAAATAAAACTGCTCGCAACTCCAAACACAGACCATCACCTGAGAGGAAAAGGAGATAATGCTTCACTTTGAAAAAATCAAGTCCTAGGCTCTTCCAACAATGCAACATAAATATATATCAAATCAAATCAAGTTTTATTTAAATAGCACATTTTTAAAACGATTTTTGGTCGAGCCAAAGTGCTGTACATATAATTACCTTACAGTAAGGACACTTTACAGCAAATACAACAGCACAGTTTGTGCAGAATATCAGTATGAGAAAACGACTGTATATAAGACATACAAATAAATAAATAAAACAATAGAAAAACAATAGATAATAGTGCAAGAAGAAACAGAATAGGAATAAAATAGTGCAAGAGAGTGTTGCAAGACCGATGGTCAAGGAATGCAGAACTATATCCATGTACCAATAGATTAAACTTTAAGCTACCTCTATAAATAAGTGTTTTGCTGCTGTAGTGGAGACGCTGACCTTTAACTAACACACTCTTTCTCTGCGCAGATGAAGGGCTGCATCAAGGTGCTGAAAGAGCAACCGTCCAACAGTGTGGAGGGACTTCTGAACGCGCTGAGGTGTGTATGAACCAGAAAGAGATACTAGACACAGATTCCCTGAGTTGCTCCAGATGTGTGATGGCCAACGGTGTGTGAATGTGTGTGAATGTTAGGCCCCGTCCACACGGACACGAAACGGGTTGTATCCACTACAGTTCTCTACCGTATGGACGGTTCGTTCACACGAGGCCGACACGGAACCGCGGAAACGGAGCCCTCAAACGCTAACGGGTCCCAAGGTGGGTAGATCTGCGGACGAAACGCTCTGGGGGGCAAACGGCTCCGTGTGTACGTCTTATACGATCATTACCTGATAACGATGAAGCCATAGCCCCGCCTCTCCCCACCTCTGCTGCTCACCCCCGCGTCACCCGCGTCATTGCTGATGTGTTTCGCCAACAACAACAACAGTGTTCTGAGTGTTTCGAGCCAGGTCCCCGGTATCTCGCAGGACAGTGCACCCAGCAGCCTCCAGCAGACCCCCCCCGCACGGTTCCCTCGTCCCTTGGAAGAGGCGGAGAGGTGGGTGTTTTTCATCTGCTGGTGGACTACCGGGGAGAACGTCCTGCTCGGGAGCCAGGCTCAGAGTCAGTGGCAGTGGGTGCGTTGTACCTGCCTTTTACAGCGGGAGCATGAGCTCGCCTCGGGGAGGGAGAAAAAGAGAAACAGAGGCCGCCGAAACAGCGAGAGCCCCGCCTCTCCCCACCTCTGCTGCTCACTGCTGTAGCATGGTCAGTACTAGCTACTGCTACTGACCATGCTACAGATGTTAGTGCAAAATCTACAGCTCCTCTACCACAGCCATCAGCAACAAGTGGACATGGAGAACTACATGAACTACATGTTGCTCAATCCACCGCGGAGAATAAACAGTAGGGCAACCAGGCAACCATGACAACCATGCTCGGAGGGGTCTTCTTCGCTGCTTTTGGTGTATTTTGTGGCGGAAGTACAGCGCCACTTACAGGCCCGGCATATGTACTATAGCGACTCGAGCGGTCTTGTGTGGACGGACACGTTTCTTGAGCCGATACCGTGTGGACGAAATACTTTTTTGATATCGAATTCGGTTAGTTTTCGTCTCCGTGTAGATGCAGCCTTAGTTTCCTAGAGCAATTGGTACAGCTCTGTATGAATGAGGTGTGAAAGGGTGAATGACTTGTAGTATGTGAAGCACTTTGAGGGGTCGTAAAGACGTGATAAAGCGCTATATACGTACAGTCCATCTCTAGAACTTTACAACTTAAACATATCTCTCTCTTCTTCAGGTATACGACACGACATCTAAACGATGACAGCACCTCCAAACAAATCAGGGCCCTCCTGCAATGAGAAGGTTCAGAGAGGAGAGAAGGAGCGCACTTGAAGGAGGAGAGAAAAGAAGGAGGAGGAAACGAACGCCAGTGTCTGATAAAACCTGTTGGTTTACAACGATCAAAGAAGAAGAGGAAAATAATTATATATATTGTCAGCTGTCCATCATTCTGTCTCTCATTTTGTAAAGTAAGAAAAGAGAAAACAAGCCAGAAAAGAAAATATAGATATATATTAAAAAGAAGTGCAACACAAGCAGAAGATGAAAGATAAGTAGGACTGGAGAGGGAGTTATATTGCAAAATCTAACGTCAGAAACGACGCAAATGTACAAAAAGAAACAAAAAAAGGGTTCATGTTCCAGCAGTAGTCTGACAAGTATTTTTGCACACAAACAACGCCATGTCCTTTCCCCTGAAGATCTGATCCCAAACTGACCCCTGCAGACTTTCCTGTGCCCCCTCACACACTCGCTTTTTAACTCTCCAGACGTAGTTTCCTCCTTCAGCTGCTCCGACCTCCACCTGCAGGAGATTGAAGAAGCAATGTGATGGATGCACTCCGGAGATTTGCTTCTTCCTGTTTTGTTTATTTAATGCATCGGTGCAGCTGAAGGAAAGGAGGCAAGGAGATGAGTGTTATTTCATCTCCATTATCGCCAAGTTTTCTCCCATCATTCCTATCCATCCATTCTTAGGTGTTTCTCCTTGGCACTAAATCTCCATCATATGTGCCCTGACACTGTATACGATCCAGCATCATGTGTGTATGGCTTTACTTGAACAATGTAGTTCACTCTCTTTCTCTATGGTGCTAATGTGGTTTAGATATCACAGTACTAGCTTGTTAGATATCCGTTTATTCGTCCCTCTTTTGCACTAATCTCAATTTCTGAGAACATCTGCTATAAGCTTTAATGTGATTTCACATTAGTGCACAAACAGGGACGAATCATCAAGACATGTAAACTCAAATAAAGGCTATGTAGGAAACCACAGCACACTTACTTCTTCACCCAGTGCCAAAGCTGATTGGTTATTGCTTTTATTTCATCATGAAGCGAGGATCTGAGGATTTAAGGGGATGAAATCTTGTAAAACATCACTGATAATCCTTTTAAGAACACATGAAAGTGCAACACCAACTCATGCACATAAAAGTCAGAAGGTGATTCACACACATGCATTTTAAAGGGGAGATCTGCAGTGTAAATATGTGAGGCTTTTTTCAACGGGCATCTACACGGTCAGCTTGGGTCCTCAAGGAACAACATTCATCAAAAAACCTGCATAGAGTTATTTCTTTTAGTACGAGGTTGTCTAAAGAACTAAGTAATTGAATAAGTGAAAATAAAAAACTGAGATTAAAAAGAAGTGCTGTACTTTGGATGTCTATAGCCCTTAGTCTAATTTAATTTGAACTTATAATATATTTTCTATACAGGGGTATGTGCACAAGCATAGTCTGTATAAATATATAGATGGCATGTTGTAAAAGTTCTGACAGAAATGTGTAAATAAGGTGTTTTTATTCATTTTTAATTGTTCAGTGACGCTGGAATTGGGTATGTGTTGTCTCTCAGAATTACCATGCGTTTGGCTTGGACCATCGGACTTGCCGTAGTCATAGGTTTCAGAAACTCAGCTTCATTATTGCAGATGAACCAGAGGGAGGGGGGGGGGGGGCGGGGTCAGGGGCTATCCATTTGCTTGTTATTTTGTACATTTTGTGCAACAATAAACTTGTCATTTATTACATTCAAACATGACGTTGTGTGTCTGTAGAGCTTCAGATCTCTATCTATGATGTTAGTACATGCAGTATAATGTAAATGTGTACGTGTGGTGTAAAGCTGGAACAGTTTTTGTATTACATTTATCATAAATTCAACAGATTTCATACATTACCCACAATGATTGGCATAATTTCAATAAATATGACTGTATTTAGTTTAGTAAAACTTATTCTGGAATCATAATTCACACAACGCAAGTAAAGCACATTTTTTAGGGGTTACTGTAGGTTTGCAATTTTTCCAAGGCTTTCTTAAATCAATAATCAGGTGCCAAATTCGACCCTAAATCAGTTTTTCATACTGTATTTTTTCACGTTTTCATACTAACTATTATTTAAGTTAAAGGTCCCATGTCATGGCCATTTCTACTGATCATAATTCCATTGTTGAGGTCTACTAAAATAGATTTACATTGTGCAATTTTCCAAACTCACATTGGTTTCTCATACAGCATCTCTGTATAGTATGTGTATTCACTCTCTGTCCTAAACGGCTTGTTGGAGCTCCTGCCCCCCCCCTCCCTGTGAGCCCAGTGGCCGTCTGCGAGACAGCGAAACCCACCCCGAAACACACACACACCCGCAGCCTGGCTGGGAGTTTGTGCGTGTGCTCAGGCTGAGTTCCGCGGTGTTTCGCTGTCTCGCCGACCCCACACCAGTGAGCCAGCTCACAGTGTCCCGCTCCTCGCAGCAGCGAGCCTCGCAACATCCCGCCGAGTGTGTGTGTGTGAGGAAGTCCGCGGATTGGTCCAAACGTAACGGCTCCGCGGATTGGATACGTTACGTTACGTCACTATACCCAAATACGTCACTATACCCAAGAAGTAAACAATGGAAAAAGAGAAATCTCCAACGAGGCGTTCTGGGGAAGCATAGACAGGTCTTTTCTGTGTTAGAGTTTTACTCGCTACAGGGTGTACTTTGAGCGTTTGTGACTCTGCAGACCGTTTACATGCAGAAAAACCTTCATAACACACAAGGGGACGGGTAATAACCAGAAAAGCATGACATGGGACCTTTAAATGAAACCGTTAGGAAAGATAGATGTGGTCATTTAAATATCACTCTTCTATGAAAACATTAAGCTAACGAGGGTTGTGGATATTGTTTACTGATGGATTGCAATTTTTTAATTATCACAATATATTTGTAATAAAACCACTTAGAAATCAATTTCGACTTCATGAGAATTATATCTCCTAATGGTCTTTCAATGTGAGTGATGAAAAAAAAATCCACAGTCCTCATGATTTGCAACCATGTCTTCAAAAGCCATGAAGCTTTCCCCATGAAGGGAAATTACATAATGAACGTATAAAAAACATGATGTAAACAGTCAGAAAAATACCAGTTTACATCCTATGAATGCGGAATAAAGGAACAATACATAGGGCCAACATCTACTTTATTTGATCAATTCAAACTGAGAGACCCCTTATAATAAATTAAGATGAACTAAAACATTCAAATCTCCAGTTTGAACAGGATATCCTTAGTATCTATAAAGTGTTGCAGATGTGTACTGCACAGACAACATGAAAAAGTATCTGCATGTTGCTCTCACGTTTCCTGTCCCTTTTTAAAATGGCATCAACTTATTTAGAACAAAAGTGGTTTTCGTCAACTGAGGACGTAAATGCAAAATTAACTAACTGGAAACTAGATATGACTCTTTGATTAAACTGCTTACTGTTCATTTTTGAGACAGTGAAGAGGTGTCAAATGCCCCCCAAAAATGGAAGGAACCACTGGTGTAGAAGATAAGAACCAAAACATGTATAAAAAAGAACATCTTCAAATTATCTTCGCTAGGACTTCAAACTGTTTACCCCTCACTCCATGTAAAAAAGCATGACATGCAAATGCAATATACGTTGAATATATAAAATATAAATATACAAGTATTCATCGGTGCACATTCCACATGATCACACATACCTATAAGGATGTTATAGGCACTAAAGAGACTTAATTTGTTTTTTCCAGCCTGCCAAAAACAATGAAATCATAAAACATCATCTTATAATATGATATGGAAGCTGTAGTCTCAAGATCTAATACTCTTGTCATGTCTTTATCATACTTTAAGTCACATGTACTTCAGCCACCTTCTCTATCTTACCACAAGGGGGCAGCAGAGGATCAGTTTAGAAAATACTACAAAACCATTCAATTAGATAAATACTTGATGCTTAATGGGATGAAACACCTGACACTATAATGAAACAGCAAATAATTAATGATGGAATTGATCTGTTGGTCTAAATAAGCAGTAATGTGTGACACTTGAACAACTTTAAATCATCGAATTAAACACTTTAACTGCGGGGTATCTCTGCAAATGTAATAAAGACTTTGGGTAGGGTTTTAAAAGATGGATGCAGAAATAGCTTCAGGCACAAAGTCCAGCTGTTTTGTGTGTGAGAGCTGGAAGGTGTAAAGTGGGTCAGGGGGACACAGGAGAGCCTGTCAGAAGTTATATATGGAAAAGAGAGCAGCGAGCAGATAGTGTACCACGTTATAAAAACCACAGTTTACACACAGAGAAAGACACCGCTGAATTAAAAGGGATTATTTGGAAGTAAAATAAAAAAAGATAGTAGGCAAATGATCTCGTGGTTTGAGTGTGGTTGTGTACACGAGTCTGGCTTTGTGCCCTAACTGTCATGCGATAAATAAGGAACCATGCCTCCCTTTACTTCCCTTAATGGCACACATTCAAACCTGCATTATTCCTGACAAACAATGATCCTTTACTGCCTTGAACTCCATGATAAAAGGCAGTAGGCACACAATAACGGAAAGTGAAGTCAGATAAGCAGCAAAGGCACTGAAGTGGCTGCAGATGTATTCAAAGGAAATGTTTCACTTAACAAACATGTAGATGCTATAAGTGTTTTCTCTTGGCATGTATTCTTGTTGAAGCTGAAACAGCATTCCACAGACAATAAAACTTATTAAAAACCAGACAATAGTAGGATTATTTAGCACTATACTAATATGTGACACACTGCTCCTTTCAATACAACTCATTTACAACTAATTTTATAAGGAAATGAGGGAGTAAAATATGCAAATAAATAACGTCAGTGTAGATTTAAGACTGTTGAGCAATGAGCAGGGACTTTTATATTATTCCAACAGTCAAAGCTATCAGATAATCCCAGAAGTTCCCTCTTTTGAAAATTCTTCTCTTGCATTGTTAAGTCTGCAGCAAACGGATCAGCTATTAACCGTTAACTGCCTGGAGGAGGGGACACCTTATCAGCCATGTGTGTGTGATACAAATTCAACAGCAGTTATTCATCGTTGGCTTCCTCTCCCCGCCTTTTTACTGAACTTTGAGACATCACACACACATAATCTCTTTTTTCCCTTGTTGTCTGGCTCTCACACACCTTACTGTTGAACACACACCCCTAAAGTGTTACATATCAGCAGATAGTCATTGTACTCGCCTGACAAAATGTAAAACAGCACGAGTATTGTTAAGTCTGGTGACCAACTGCTGCTACGCAAAACCCACCAACTGAGGGACATTTCTGTGTGCATGTAACACGCCTGTTTATGTATCTGTGTGATTCAAAGTGATGAGCAGATGTTTAGGATGTTAAAACACCTGCATAACTAGCAGCCTAAACCCCTTTATTGCATGTTTCAGCTAGTCTGTCCATCATTAACTTGCTCCCTATAAAAGTAATAAAATTAACTCTTTATATAGCACCTTTCAAACAGTGAAAGTAGATCAAAGGGTTTTACAAAATCAAAGATCAAAACAAGTGCAAATGATGCGCAATAAACCAAGCAATAGAACAAAGGACGCTGTTAACCCTTAGATGCACGAGTGACTACACTCTTCCATAAGTGGGTCAAAAAGGACCCGTATTAGAATAATATGTGTTTTTATGCCATTTTTGTCATTTTGGTTAAGAAAAATCACTTGTATAATATTTAGTATTATATTTTGGTTCACACTAGAAATATTTTATATTTAAGTTTTCACTATTTATAATTTTAGACATTTTTTTTTACATTTTGAAAAAAAACGAAATTCCATAGAAAATGCATGCGGGTCATTTTTGACCCACTTATGGAAGCTTGGGGTAGAAATACAAACAATTTGAATGGCATGATATCCAAAACATGTTTTTTGAGGAATAGCTGGAATATGAAATGATAAAAACATGTAATTACAAAGATACTCTAAGAAAACCACCTCACCGGGTCAAAAAAGACCCACTTATGGAAGCTTGGGGTTAAGAATATGTAAAAGATAATCATAAAGGAAAGGAAGTGCAACAGTAAGGTAAAGGCAATACATAAGTGTGTTATAATCTCGTCTCTTTTAGCCTTGTGAAGGGAATTCCATAATGTTGGTGCATAATTAAAAAGCTGGAGATTTTCTTGCATTCAGAGTTTGGTAAACATGTAAAATTACGTTTAAAAATCAGTCCTTAAGGCCACCGTGAGCCAGTGCAGTTTATCTCCTGCTCCCTCGATCTTGTTAAAAGAAAACCCCAGCAGCAGAATTCTGAATTAAGTTTATCCATGAATTGTTTTGGAAAATAGTTGATACAAACTATATAGTCTGCTTGAAATAATGTAACGTTTTTCAGCATCTTTTTGGGATGGGAATGGCCATACCTTTGCAAATTAAAGAATATATAATACTTTACACTAAAAGCGTAAATGGAGTTTTAGCCTCTTCAGACTTTTTCCTTTCTCCATGCAACCTGGAAATAGGTGAAGCAGGACCAGAAAAGAGTGTGTTGCTTTCAGGGTCAACAAAAGTGTCCTTCTAGAATTGATCAGGTTAAAGAATAACATGTGAGCCGTGGTAGGGAAGTACCCTCTTTCTTTCCGTAATGTTACACATGCGTAAAGCTTTAAATGCTGCGTGACTCAAGTGCTCCATTCATAAACTAAGGCTCTTTGACTTTACACACAGGTCACACACATAGGTCACACATAAGCATGCAGCTACTGGCTCTAGGAGGAAAGCAGATTGCATGAGTACACATGTTAAAGAATCAATACATTACAAAACCTCAGATCCTTGGATCAAATATCACATATGTTGTAAGACTTCTGTACACTGCATGACTCTAATGCCTCCCCAGCAACAACTGCATGTGTATATATAGTGTATATACAAC